TCAGGAAGGCAAAGACAAATGGATGGGTGAGAGGCTTTAATGCACAGGCAGGAATGGAGATCACACATTTATTTTATGCTGATGACGCTCTTATATTTTGTGAGGCAGAGGAGACACAGATTAGGCATTTAAGAGCTATTCTCACTATATTTGAGGGCATTTCAGGTCTGCATGTCAACTGGTTGAAGAGTCATCTCTTTCCAATCAATAATGTTGATAATATGTCTAGGCTAGCTGAAACATTGGGTTGCCAGGTAGATGCACTACCAACAAAATACTTGGGACTACCTTTGGGAGCAAAGAACAAAGAGCTGGAAGTGTGGAATGTGGTGTTGGAGAGATGTGAGAGGAAACTAGCCAAATGGAAAAGCCAGTACCTGTCTCTGGGTGGCAGGGTAACACTCATCAAATCAGTGTTGGATGGTCTGCCCACCTACATGATGAGCTTATTTCCAATCCCCAAGAACATTGAGAAGAAAATTAATAGGCTACGGAGAACTTTTCTATGGCAGGGTAACAAGGAAAAGGGAGGCTATAATCTGGTAAAGTGGGAGTCAATCACACTCAATAGAATCCAAGGAGGCTTAGTCCTGAAGAACCTGAGTCTACAGAACAGCTGTCTACTTCAGAAATGGTTATGGAGATTTTGTACTGAAGACAGAGCCTTATGGAGAAGATTCATTGCAGGCAAATATGGTTTATTTAATCAATGGACAACTAAAGAGGTTATGGGCATTTTTGGATGTAGTGTTTGGAAGACCATTACAAGATTATGGCCACACTTCAGAAGCAACATATGCATCAGTGTGGGGGATGGTCTAAAGACAGTTCTGGAATGAAACATGGTTAGGGGAAGACAATTTGAGAAACCTATTTCCTCATTTGTATACCCTGAGTTTGCAGAGCAATGCCACTGTGGCACAAGTCTGGAGTCAACAGGGTTGGGATCTAATTTTTAGAAGAGCATTAAACGATTGGGAAATTGAGGAAATTGCCAAGTTATTAGAGGTCCTCAATAATTTCCCAGGTACATCTCCAAGATCTGACAAACCAATATGGAAAATACGCAAGCAAGGGGTCTATACAGTGAAGTCATGCTATTGGAAGATGAACTACAATATTTCATTGACTGAGAGGTGGCCATGGAAACTAATTTGGAAGGTGAAATGTCCATCAAAAGTCTCATGTTTTGTTTGGCTACTGATTAGGAAAGCATGCCTTACTCATGAAGCTTAACAGAAAAGAGGCATGCATATTTGTTCAAGATGTTTTATGTGTGAACATGAAGCTGAGGTAAATAATCATCTGTTCATTCACTGTCAAACAGCTACAAGGTTGTGGTAATTACGTTTTGTGCAGTCTGAGGATTAGTTGGGTGATGCCAAAGACTACTTTGGAGGTCCTGAACAGCTGGTCAGGAGTTGGAAGTAGAGGCAAGAAGGAAGAATGGTGGAAGCTCATCCCAGTATGTATCTGGTGGTCTATATGGAAGGAAAGGAATGCTAGGTGTTTTGAAGGACAGAAAATCAATTTTCAGAGGATTAAAACAACTGTAATAGTCTTCTATTTTTTTGGTGTAAACAAGACTTGTTGGGGGATGGGGTAGAATTAATTGATTTCTTAGGAAACTTGTAATCTGATTACCATCATGGAGGTGTGCTCATCACACTATGGGATGTAAGTTTCCAATTCATCATCTCTTGGATGATGAATCTTTTGTGAATACAAAGTTACCCTTATCTCAAAAAAATAATACCCTCTTGCATATGGTGGTCAATCTGGAGGGAAAGAAATAGAAAGTGTTTTGAAGACGATCAAATCATTCCATGATGTGAAATGGAATTGTCTGGTGACTTTATTTTTTTGGTGTAAACAGAACTGTATAGAGGAAATAGAGGAGTTAGTAGAATTTCTAGGAGCTTTATAAAGCTAGAGTCTACTTGTTTTGTAATATGTTTCTGATGGTGGTCAGCATTGGGAATGCTGAATAATACAACAGTACTAATCCTCAAAAAAAAAGGATGGCACAGTGCTATGCAAATTATATATGAGAAAGTAGTCACCAGAAGGATGGCACGGTGCAACACAAATTAGATATAAGAAAGTAGTCACCAAAAAGATACATAGAACTACGCCAATCAAATTGAAAAAGTAGTTACCGGAAAGATGGCACGGTGCTACACAAACACTGACGGATATGGGGTCGACACAAAATAGTCCCAAAATGTTGCCGGAAATTGACGCGTGGTGACATGTCGGACTAAGTTTTCTTCCCCTGAATATCGGGCTCATGCATATATCATTGGTCCCACTTTTGTTAACATAACCTTTAGTCAGACGTGGGCGTATACGAGTAACAGCCACCCACCGACATCAGAAGTTCTTTGTTTATATATAGGATTATGGAAGCTCTGATGCCATGTGAAAAATATAGAAGAAAAATATTATTAAACTATGTATCTACATTATTACATTGATACCCTATTTATAGACACTACATTAGACTCCTTTTCCAATTAGGATACTATATTATAATCCTTTTCCAAGTAGGAATCTATATACTATTCCTATTCTAAGTAGGATTGTATATATTATTCTTGTTCCTATTCATATTCTACCATAGCTGAACATCAATTCCTTCATGGACCAAACCATCTAAAGACATCCCACCATTACCTCGTGACTAGTTTGCAATCAAGTAGAATGTGATTCAAGTCTTCACCTGCCGCCTTACAAAGAAAGCACCAACTTATGTAGACAACTTTTTGTTTCCTAAAATTCTTCGCCATCAAAATCACCCCTCTAGTAGCTAACCAAGTGAAGAAGCACCCTCGACACCTTAGGAATCCAAGCTGAATCATATGAAGACTATCCTCCACTCTCACCAAAAGCTTTTTGTAGAAGGAGCAAACACAAAACACTGTTAGTCTCTAACTCCCAACTCAAAGCATCGAGTTTGCTGACTAGCTCGCATTGCTTGTGAAGTAAAGCTAGCAATCTCTAAAACTCGGTCACCTCCAAATCTTGGAAATCTCTCATGAATCTCTAGTCCCCAAAACCCCCCACCCCGTGTGTCCCCCTAACTTGCTGAACAGACAATTTTGCTTTACAGACTATACAAAATCAAAAAATCATCCTTTAGCGCCAAATCTCCACACCACTTCAGCAATGTATAATAAAAGGCTCCCCATCCCTTCATTATATTCCTCCACACCCCTTTTCTAAGAAATTAAACAACATAACTACTCTTACTAATTTCACAAGTTTTCAAATGAACACGAATGGTCCCTTATTAATCATTGTCTTTGTTGATGATATTATTTGTTTTTCTAGTAGCTGCAGAAAGTCTCTTAAGTTATTGATGGAGGCTCTATCAGGATATGAGAAAGCAGTGTTCAGGGAAGCGTGAAGCGGAAAAAAGCAATAAGGCCCCGCTTCACGCTTTAAGCGATGAAGCACTCACATACTCATTCTAGTCTGTGAAGCGTAGAAGGCTCGCATCGCTTCGCTGCACTCGCTTTCCTGAACACTGTGAGAAAGTATCAGGAAGTTGGTCAACAAACTTAAATCAATGTGTTATACCTGCACCCAATGCTCAACCTGAAGCAATCTCAAGGGTTGAGAGCATTACAGGGACTGAGCGCAAGTTTTCTCCTATCGAATACTTGGGATGTCCATTGTATGTTGGGAGGAAGAAGATTTCAATATTCTCATAGATATAATCAAAGTGCTAAACAAAATTTCTGGCTAGCACACTAAATTCCTGTCTACCGGTGGAGATTCTGATGCTACAAAACAGTCGAGATTGGGAGTGTTGAATAACTGGTTGACATTGTCGTGTGAGTTGCTTGATTCCGTCTGCAGTGCCTCAGAATCTTTCTTTATTTACTATACGATCGTCTTATCATTGTCCAGACAGTATCATTTTGGACACATTTATACTAAACTATTCATAGAAGCTCGTGACTTGTACTACCAGGTTCAGGAGGTATTTCGGTCTTTCCACGTTGTTGCTTCTAGAACTTGTTGTTTATGAGATTCAATGTCTTAACATTTATTCATGTTTCTTAAATATCACGATGGGTTTCTATTGATTTTGGGTTCGCCTAACGGATTGGGAATAGGTATCATTGCAGTTTAGGCAAATTGGATCGTTACTTTGATGAAAAATGGACCTTTGGTCAAATCACAATCTTGGAATGCCTCGTGTAAGGTTAAAAAGTTGGTCGGCCAGCATATTTTGAGGAAGGTTGGAAAAGGGGATGCAACTTTTTTTATGACAAGGGAAACCCGAAGCCGCTACCCTTTGATTGCGCACAGGCAGGGTGAAACCCCCACTCCTATACAATAGCTTGTAAACCACACAGGAGAGGTAAGCCACACTAGACAAGCCCGGTGCAATGAGCTCAGCCCAGAAGGCAAACCCCTTGCTTTCGCTAACAAAATTAGGTCCTTTATGCAACCGTTTACATGAAGGTCATAAGCCAAAAGAATTAAGCTTTCTGAAATGGTTTAAACAATCATTTAAATTGGGGTGGATGGGATCTCTTTTTCTTCCCCAACATGTGGCTGATATGGTTCACAGTTTCCATGTCGTTTTTGAGATTCATAATGGGTGACAAACCAATCTGGATGGCTAACAACAGCAGAACCTTCTATGTGACTTCAGACCATCTCCAACCCCCCTCTATTTTCCTCTCCAAACTATATAAATGGAGGGGGGAAATAGAGATATATATCAAGTTTACACCAACAAGAATCAGTCAAACTTAAACAATCTTAGGCATATCCATTGTTCATTGAAAACAATTTTCAGTGTAATTCACCACTGTCTGCCTTCCCTTTGGAGGTGAAGGGGGAGTTCTTGAGTTACAGCACAAAACAGCATCATAACAGACAAACAATAACTAATTAATTAAGTCATCAAATTCGATGATACGCAAGCAATCAGTTGGAGACACAATATGTAAAATTTTCCACTGACGTGAAACAACACTCACCTGCTGCATTAGGGAAGTAAATGCATCCTTTGAGAGACCAAAACCAATCGCAGCCATTTCTGCAACAGACTGAAAAACCGAGCAGTCACATTCCAGAATTCTCAAACCAGTAGCATAAATAAAAGATTCAAATGCTTATAAGTTGTAACCCACCTCTACAGCAGATATCATCTTATATCCCCATGAGTCCATAGTACATTTCCATTCAGGAAAACCCTCAGGTATTACTGGCTCTGAATTCAGTTCCTGTAAGTGTATAATGCTTGTTTTACTTACTAGCAGCAATTTTCAGTTCTTATGGCACTAATTGTAACCATTGATTGGAGCTAAAATCAAAGAATGTCGTTGACCAATCTCATCTTTGAATAACATAAATGAAATGGGGAAATGAGAGGAGAAACCTTAAAACAGGTAATCTTTGGACGGGGACCAACTCTCCACATGTATCTCCATTTAGGATCTGGTCCAGATGGACTAGATGGTTGATATTCTTTAGGCATTGCTTTAAGCTTCTCTTTCATTTCCTCATCAACCAGGCTACGTGGGACTTCAACTCCTTCAGGTGTCACCCCGACCTGTCAGACATTGACATGAATAGTCTTCCAAAAAAGAGGCTTAATGAGCACTTGAGCAGACTTGGAATTTATCGAACCGATTGAGTACATCTATCTTTCTAGTTATTAATTGACAAAACTAGCTATCAGTTCTCTATAATTGACAGCACAACCATGAGAAGGAGAATCAAAGCAAAATAATTTTGTTATCTAAACATGCAGTACACGCAGCAGAAAATACAAATTGTACTATTCAATGCCGTTTCCAAATTAAAGCCAGATACTCTGCAGCCCTATTACTTCTGGAGTCTTTTATCATATGCTTCAGCACAGCATATTGGCAACCTTTAAGAGCTGCAGAGCATCTTCTTCTATGCTTACCTAGCTGCTACAGCAAAGGATTTAGAAACAGAACAGTTCCAAATATTTGTGATCCATTCCATCAAACTGCTATAAAACTCAACTCCTTAGCATACATTTACAGTTAATACATAAAATAGAATCATCAAGGAAGGTATTAAGATGAAGAATCTTAACTCTTAAGTATCTACTGAACACCTGGCAAGCATAGTATACGAAGAAAAAGATGAATTCAGTCAAGCTTATACCTTTGTACATCATTTGGACAGCTTGGAACAGAAGGAACAATAGATGTTCTGGAGGCTAAGTTGCTCAGACTCGGGTGCGGGTAACTGAGACGGATGCGAATCCGAGAGTCGGATCGGTAAAATTTAAATTTTAAGATTCAGGGGTGCGAATCCGAGTATGGATACAGGTGCGGCTGCGAAAATAAAGAGTCCGCGCAACATAGTCTGGAGGTAAAGAGGAGCAGATTTTTGTTACAAATTATAGATGCTTACAACACTTGTTTTGCTGGCATAAAGGTGATATTGTAATTAGCGGATGACTTCTTTAACTTGCTAGATTAAGTTATTAAGGTAGTCTCAGCACAAGTCCAATATTTTTGTACTCTTTTTGGTACCTTCTTGGTACTGTTTTCATTAATAAAAATTATCTTGTAGGAAAAAAGGTATATCTGGTGCTTTGGTGCTTTGTGTTTCAGTTATGCAAAAGCAATACCTTAAGAATGTAGATTTTGAGAACATGCACAAGGCGTAAGTTAGAAAACATGCAACAATTCGGGGAATAGAAATTCAAATAATAAAATAATACTCCTTTGTTGCATTTTACTCTTGTGATTATTAATTATATAACCACACTTTTCTAACGATACCAATGGACCCTCACTTGCCCAGATGTCAAGTATTTGTAGTTAGCAAAGCTTCCCAATTTCTGTATGTATGTTGGATGAACACCAACCAGTAGAGAATATAGTATTTTAACCAACACGCTTTTTTTAAAAAAAAAAAAAAGTGTTAACGGACAGGGTTTTTTCAAGTAAATTATTGGTGAGGCAACAAGATCACGCGAGAGAAAGCTAATTTGTACTTGCCAGTTCGACGTTTGACATATGCAGAAAATGGAGAATATAGTAAGTAAGCCAAATCGGTCTCTCAAGTAAAATTTCAGATGAGATAATTTCACCCAACAAAAGACTATTTTTACAGGCCACATTATTTTTGGCAAGCTTGATAAAAGCTTAAGTGGTCAAACACAGGAAGAAGTTTTTCGTTTATCATAAAACCCATGTATTACTCCATTGACCCAAATTTCTTTCAGTAAACAGTAGGTAAGCTGGAGCCTCTAATGATAAGACATCTGGAAGAAGGAATTCAGGCTAGGGTTTTGATTCATGGCCTTTGCGAATGCCGAAACTAATCTGTTTCTAGGTACTGAGGCCACCAAACTGATGAAGCTCAGATTAGACAACACACTCAAATTGGAGTAAATATAATGCCCCATCACGATTATAGCTAAAAATCAGTATTTGAATGACTTTGATGTTGAGAATAATATAGAGAGAAAATCTCAAACAGATTATCATCAACACCACTTATAATTGATAAAAGCATTCATAAGATAGGAAATACAAAAGTTGGGATGACCTGATAATGTAGATGAGGGCGCTCCTGAAGGCGCTTAAATTCTTCAGGCTGTTGGAAGTACTTTTCCATCATATCAATGAATTTATCATTATCTTCAGCGGTACACCTCGGATCCTTCACCAATAAAGCTCCAGTTTCTCTTAGGGTTCGACTCACCTCCAAGCACATACTCTTAATATGGGAATCCAACTCATCGCTACAGATTTCCAGATAGGGTGCCAGATCAATTACAGGAAGCTCCATTTCCAACAAAAATGGGTGCTAAATGCTAATGGCTTGAACGGGACAATTCTTTTTGGCCTGTTTTTAGTGCGTGCGTAAACGGCGCACCGGATCACAATCTTTGCCGATTACAACTGGTTTTCACTTTTCAGTTTTGATATTATAGTGATTACAACCCGCCTCATGCGCAAAAAATATTGGGAGTATCTCATTTTATTTTATTATATTATTAAAATTAATTGTAAAATTTAAAATCATTCCATTGATAAAAAGGCCACCACCGTGATAGAAAGTCATTTCCTTCCTTTAAAATTGTCATAACTGTTATAAAATAAAATGTGTAGTAAAATAAAATGACAAGAAGAAAATGAGAGAAAATGAGAGGAGACGAGAGGAAGTTGCTCGGATGGTAAGCATCCCTCACTTCCACCCTGAAGGTTGCGAGTTCGAGTCACCAATGAAGCAAAAGGGGTGGGAGCTCCTAGGGAGGGATAAAAAATAAAAAAATAAAAAGAGAAAAAGAGAGGCACAAAGTGATAGTAGTAGCTTTTCTATACTTTTTTTGATGACAAGGGAAACCCGCAGCCGCTACACTTTGGGTGCGCACAGGGTAAAACCCCCGCTCCTATGCAATAGCTCGCAAACCACATAGGAGAGGTAACCCGCACTAGGCAAGCCTGGTGCGACAAGCTCGACCCAGAAGGCAAACCCCTTGCTTTCGCTGGCAAGGGGTTTCGAACTTGAGACCTCCAACATGGAAGTCCCAAGCTCAAACCACTGGGCCACCCCGAAGGATAGTAGCTTTTCTATACTTGGGCATCAAGAAGATTACATAGATATATATTTGTCATGTACATACTTGAGCACCAAGTATAATATATGAATACCTAGTTTACAACACTTTGTATAATGTGTGTATATATATGTTACACACAATGTATTATGTGTACATATATGTTACCACAAAATATATTTATGTATACATCCATTTTATGGATGTCCTATGTAAAAATATTTTTTTGGTAAAAGAAAAGATGTAGTACTACGCTTTGTTTGCTGCCTCATTAAAAATCTTTACCAGAAAAATCTAGTTGGATAAAATATGGTTAAGAAAAAAAAATGCAGTGTGTATTTACTCCTTCTAATGAAGACATCACTTAACAACTTGAAGATGACGCATTCCAATCTTGTTTCTCAACTTTTCAAAGGTTGAAGTAGGTAATGCCTTGACGAATATTTGTTAAATTATCACTTGAGTGAACATCTATTTCACTCTTCTTTTGGAGATCATGAGTAATATATTTAGTTAGATCCCCTTTGATGTATCCTCCTCTTAATTGAGCTATATTTGTAGCATTGTCTTCATATAATGTTGTTAGAATATCACTTTTCGAAGTATAATACCTCAAAATTTAAAAATCTATGTTCAAAAGGGAAAGTTCAGTTTTTGGGCATTGTGGTGATCTATGACTCCTACCTACGAGTCGTAGGAAGTCCTACGGGCTGTAGAATGGAAGTCGTAGACTATGGGCATTGAAGGTATTTATATGTTCTATGAAGCTTGGCCACATGACATGAATGACATCTAGATTTTCACTACTAAAAAACTGCCAAAAAGCGATGGACAAAGGCGAGGGACTGCATCTCTTTTATTGCCAAAAGCGACGCAGTCAATCTCGTTGCTTTTTGGCTCGACGCTTTTCCAAAAGCGACGGAATGCGTCGCCAAAAAGCAATGGACTGCGTCGCCTATTGTTTTTTTAAAAAAATATTTTTTTAATAAGGCGACGTCGTCCATCACTTCTTTAAATTTTTTATTTTTTTAAATTTATAAAAAGCGAAGAAGTTCGTCGCTTTTAATAATTTTTTATTTTTTTAGAATCTTGAAAAGCGACGGACTAAAGTATCATGTTCGTCGCTTTTCCGGTATTTAAAAAAAATAAAACCTAGAAAAGCTAAAATACCAGAAAAGCGACGGACTAAAGGACCCTGTCCGTCGCATTTTTGGTATTTTAAAAAAATAAAACCCAGAAAAGCGACAGACAAAACCACCCTGTCCGTCGCTTTTTCTGTAATTTTTTTAGCAGCGCCCACCTGTAAAAGCAATTCAATTCTATTCAGCCCTAATCAAACACAAAACATTATAAAGAAGTTACACAAAACATAAAACAACAAACTTAAATTAACATTCAAAAATATCGAAATCACAATTTAAAGACTTATAAAGTCTTTCAAAATTTGTTTCAAAATTTTAAAAAATTCATTATAATAAGAGACCTAAACTAGGGAGTGCGATCTACAAAATCATCCTCCTTCTCACTGTCGTTGTCGGTGTCCTCGGCAGGAGAAGATGTAGTAGGTTGACGAGCGAGGTTCAACACTTGTTCTTTGATTTGCTGAACGGTCACACTCATGCTTTCTTGTTCAGCTACTCTTTCTGCTAGTGCCGATGTAAGTTGTGCTATTTGAGCCGACATAGCAGCAATCTGAACACCGTCAAGTGCCTCAGCCTGACGTGACGATCCAATACCTTGCAAGCCTAACTAGAGTCATCTTACATCGTGTCGAGAGCCTCGACCATAGACTCTACCCTTGTGTGTCCCCTACCACTTTTTCTGTCCGAATTTGGGTGGACAGTTCAGGTGTCATTTGGACCGAACTATCTAGATTCTCATCGACGTACTAATTAGACTCTCTCTACATATTAAATATAAAAATTGGCATCAATATATATACATACCATAAATATATTCACTATTAATATATATTATTCATATTAAATAACTTACAAAAGTTCGTTTGGCCCTTTCCTCCACCCACACATCCGGATCCGACTCATTTTCTTTCTTCTTCACACTAGTCCTCTTGAAAACCTCTGGTTCAAGGGGAGTGCGCCCCATTTCTTTTTCCTATAAATAAAATCTGAAATTTATAACGATATATATTAATCAACTAATTATTTATTTTAAAGTTTGAATTAGAACTTACCATCTCTCTTGTAATTGTTCCAACGGTCTTTGCACCTCCGGTGTGCAACGAGCCACCCTTAAGACTGCCTCTAGCCTTTTTTTGCTTGTTCGGACATTGCCTTGAACTTATATGTGTTCCAATACTGACGCATTTCTTAAAAAACATGAGGCAACATCCAATTCGGACACTGAAAAATTGGCTTTGGACTTAACTATTTAACCATTTTGTAATTCCTGTAGCCACAACTCTGTTCTCCTACAATATTATTTTATGCCATTCTAGCTTTTGGATTGTCTTTTGTCTTGCCCTTAACATCCATCACTGTGTTAAACAAAATGTCAAAATAATTTTTTTCAATGTGCATCACATCAATATTATGTCGCAGTAGATTGTCCTTCCAATACGGCAATGTAACGACTCGGAAAAATATGATAGGTTAAGCAAGAGCCTATGACTTTGTGTTGACTTTATAATGAGGTTCTATGAGGGGTTTATATGTAATTTCGTTTTAATTGTGTAACTCCGACAATTTAAAATGAATAAGAAGAAGCTTGAAATTGGAAGTAGTCACTTTTGGAAAAATTCAGAATCTGAAAATTTGGTTAAGTGTGGGAAATCAGTGAGTTTTTGGCCAACTTTGAGCAGTCATAACTCCTAG